AATTAAGTGATGCCTTTCAATGTGAAACAGCTTCTTTTCAATAATTCAGGCTATAATAGTGAGTCCGACAGGCTGGGCAAATGCTGCAACAATTGACTGTGTATATGATTTGCTGCACATGATGGGTCGTGATGACATTCCTGTGGGCCTTGGAGATGGATTCGCAATGAACCAGTCTGATATGGTTTCCTCTGCAGTTGGAGACTGCAGATACAGCAAGGCCATTCCACAAGGTAGTGGTGGATACCTAGACTCGGACACTCTGTATGGTTTAGCCCGTTCTTTACCTCGAAGTCCTAGGAGGTACATTCTCTACTATAATAAAGAACAAATTCCCTTGTGCATTCATGAAATTTGACAAACATTGGCATATTACTTTTCTCATTTTAGTTATATAAACTTTGACATCTTTATCATCTGATATAGCATTGTACAGTTAAAATATTCCTGAAATAACAGCCATAGAATAATACCAGATACACAGGAGAAAATTCTGTAAAATTTGGAGCTCCTCGAGATACTGATCATCCTGAACTCAGACAACCTTTAGCATTGGAAGTATTGGAATCAGTGGTGAAATCACTTGATCCAGGATCGAAAATTACTATTTTGGCGAATGGCCCATTGACTAATATAGCAAAGCTTATTCTGGAAGGAAAGAATACAAGCAATGTTATACAGGCAAGTGTTCTTCCATTCCTGTGGTCTTGAGGAGAGAATATTGACAATATACTTCAGTAAGGAACCAGATATTAATATATACGTCCTGATTCCACTGTGAGAATTTAGTTGCAGATCCTTCTCTAAAACCTCAGGTAGATTTTCCTCTCATAACCAAAATTCCTTTGTCAGTCAACTCCTTCAAATTTCATATTATAAACATATTAAGTCACCCTGTAGCTTATATAGCTGTTTTATTCCGTTGTGATTGATCTCTATGAAAATCCTTGCGATATCAATGACTCTGTTATGCTTCATGGGTTGAGAATTTGTGATATCCATCATAGATATTTCCATTAATGTGGAAGGTGTTATCTTCTGAATTTTGATGCAGGAGATATTAATTGTTGGGGGACACATCAATTATAATAAGACTGAGGAGGGAAATGTCATCAATGTTCCTTGTAACAAATTTGCGGAACTGAATATGTTTCTTGACCCTTTTGCTGCAAAAACAGTTTTGAGTTCTGAACATAATATCACTCTCATTCCACTTGGAATGCAGCGGAAAGTCAGTGCATTCCCTCAAATTCTTGAAAAGCTTTACTTGATAAGTACACCAGAAGCAGTCTTTGCCAGGCGCTTGATGTCAAGGTTGTATCGCCTGCAAAAGCTCCATCCTGCATACCGACATGTGGTATATAATTCTCATCTCAATTTCTCATTATGTATTCCAGCAATTTGTTTGGTGTTATTCGTAACAGATACATCGTTGCAATATTTGTCTGCACAATGTAGCTGACAGACTCCGTTTCCTAATATTTCAGGATATGTTTATTGGTGAGATCCTTGGAGTAGTAGTAGCTGGAGATCTGTCAGCACTAAAATCTACGTTTGAAGTGAAGAAGTTACAAGTGAGTGCTACTGGAGTTGAATGTGAAGATGGTGAAATCAGTATTGATGAAGAGCATGGAAAAACAGTAAACTTATTGGAGAATGTGGATCCATCAGCTTATTACAATGTTTTTGCAAAACGACTTGGGGATAAAACACAGGCAGCTGTAATTGGAAGCTTCAATGAGCAGAGAAGAATTTGGAGTACACCATCTAATTCATCCAACATTTAACAACCAATGCAAAGTTTCACATTCAGAAAGTGAGCACTATATCCGCGAGGTTTGACAAGCAAGTGTTTTGTTACATTAAGAGTTACTCGATATGTATTTGTGTTGGTGGAAGGTAGCGAGGAGATGGGCTCTTAACATGATCAATTGTTGTGTTGATTGGAGACTACAAATTTCAAAATTTGTTCAGTGCTGTTCTTGCTTCCTATTTAACACGATTCACTTATGCAAAGATTAGGAACACTCACAATAGGATAAGTTGGTCAACATAAATCTTTGAATGATTAATATACCATGTCATATCACCTATTTTTTATTTTATGGTGTGCCTAAATGATTATGTGGTATGTCATATCAACGTTCAAATTTCTCAAATGATCATTCAACTCATAATATTCTCTTTTTTCAAAGTAACTATCTGTCAAGTCAATATTATTTATTTGGACAATTATTTTCTTTAACCAGAACTATACTATTAAACCGAATAAAAGGTAGATTTCTTTAAGGAAATAAAGGGGTGAAATTGGTGTAACTAAAAAATAAGTAGAAAATATGATAATCCCTTTGAAGAAAGAGTAAAGAGTAACCGTGTTTTGTGTAGAAAAAGTAAGGTTAACTAATTTCTAGCCAGTTTCAACCTTGTGATTGATTGGATAGAAAGTCGAGTGAGCTTCAGTTTCCATGTTTGCATCTCTAGGCTACAAAACACATAAGCGTTGTAGTGAGTTACATTTTCAGTTCTCATCATTTTGAGGATATTAAGCAATGTTACATTTCCAATTCACATTCAAGTGCCATATTTGTTTTCCCAATTATAAAAGGAAATTCAGGATATAATCCTTCGAAATTTCATAAAAATAATCAATCTTAAACAAAGAAAAAAAAA